AAATGTAAATTTTGACTAATCAATCCCGTATGCTTGATCCAGCATCATAGATATTACAGCAGCCGACAGCAAGAAATTTCTTCATCAGGACTTGGAACTTTATGCGTTCAGATAGTTAGTGCCTAATATAAATTAGAGAGAGAATAATGAAAGAGGGCCGTATAGTGTCGCAAGTAAAGAGTTATCGTTTCAACATGTGGTGGCATCAAAATTTTAAGTACGGTTCTACTTCGCTAACAACAGGTTTTCAAGAATTAGCAGCAGATTACTGGTTTCTGAAAATGGCCTGAATAAAAACTTATATATATGGGGGTTTTACTACCAGAAAAAATCTAATATTCCATAAACGCAACAGCAATTTTGCAATCTGTCTCGCAATCGCGTAGGATTCAAGGTCCACGACAAAAAGAAAAATGTGGCCAACATATGCGTTGAAATTATTTGTAACCGAATTTCTTAGCTGAGAAAAATGAAATCGGATTCCGATATAGACATCATTTATGTCCAAACTCGGATTTGGCTGTTGCATTTTCAATCTCAGTCTAACAATTTGGCATATGTATGAAAAATGGAAGTTACTTTGTTTCAATAATTCAATATTCACCAGCATACCAATCAGATATGACTAAAAATATCGATTACCAGACTTTCTGCATGGCCGATATTTTCTTTCCAGATTATTGTGAACGATTTATTTACAGTGCTGAATTGTACGGACCATAAGAAGCACTTTGAACCTTTTTTCCCCCACAAAACGATAGTGCGCCTTAGAGGACAATGCGCCTATTGTATAGATCAGGTAGTGCTTTATTGCCTACACCTAAAACCCATTGATGTTTACATGGCCATTACGCCTTATGTTTGAATAAAACGCAATTTAAGAAAATTATTTACAGTGGGCCTTATAATACGGCCTTATGGTCCGTAAAATACGGTATACTGTATTGGGTGCCACTGATCAGTATCAACTAAAGTTGGACCCATTACACTTACAGAGATAGACTGATTCCCATAATAGCATGATATCAAATTACATATAAGTAAATGTATCGATCATCAATTTTCCTGTAAGGCCGATTTGTTATACCAAATTACTGTAAATGACTTAGTTGCAATATATTTCTAATTTGTTGTTTCTGTATAGGTTGTATTGGAGACAATGGCCGAAATTCTGGCCAATATTGGAACGAATTTTTGTGCGTTTCGCACTCGTAAGCCCTGCTTTTAACGAATATTTGCGTATGGCCTCCAGATACAACAGAAAATATAGACCGACAATTTTTTTATGCATGGTCGTTAATTTATCTTACCAGGTTGTTTTAAATAATTTAGTTACATTGTATTTATAATTTGTTCTTTGTGTATCATGTGAAGTAGACGACGATTGTCCTCCTATGGAATTTTGCGACAAAGAAATGTTTTGCGCGTGGAAAGATAAATTTCTTTCAATATCTCATTTCTACAGTTATCATAGCCCTCCAACCGATCCCGACTCTTTCACTTTGTTTCGTCTGGCAGAAAAATCTCGAGCTGCCGTGAAATAAATTGTATCATGTCATATAAAATCAAATGCATTCGTCTGAAAATAGGAAGTTACTAAACATTATACTCTCATGAAAATTAGATTCGACCAATTCCATATTCAGCATAATACGAATCAGATATATTTCTCTTACCAGATTGTTGTGAGTCAAGTCAAGTCAATTTCATTTTTTTCAAACGGTATAAAATTAGTCATTTACAAATTTTGAGCCAAAAAACACACATACTCAGTTTTACCTAGGGGCGAGGCCTTGGGAATGACTTAGTTACAGTAAATTTTTAATTTATCTTTACGACAAATGTGATTTTTTTGTGCTTTGCCTGCAGAACAATTTCACTTTACTATCAAATGCTTGAAGAAATATAAAACATCTGGGATAACATATTTAAAAATTTGATGCCTTCACGACTGTGTTAATATTCTTGCCCATACTTGATTCTTGTACATCTAAATTACCAATCTAGCAACCTTAATTTTTCTTTACCATACGAAATGAATTACGCGGTCAGCCTTATTTTAATTTTATTTGAACCCAAAAAGAACATTCTTCAGGTGCACAGCTTTTTTCTATAATATAGTACAATTCTTTATTTTGCATGTTTATATTGGACATGGAATGATGGACTCCTTAAATGTTTTCAGCACATTACCTATGACGCCGGGAAACCCTGTGTGTGTTACGTGTAAATGCTCATGTTCATAAACTCTGAATCTTACGCTCGTGAGTCACATTTTCACTGGATTTCTCCTGGACTGAACTAACATTTATATATTTTATAGTTTATTAATAATATAACAAAAAACTTTGATCATTTCCAAGGTTGTTCTGAATAAAAAAAACTTCTGTAAGTGTACGCGATTCAAAGAACCTTGTTGAACTCGCATTTCTAACTAAATTCGGACTTTTTCAGACAAGCGTCATTATACACATACGAAACTACTAGCACAAAGCATAGACGATGTAGTCAGACTAACTAACTTAACCCCAACTGAAAGGCTACACTGTTTTATACAACAGACTGGATAATATCATCAGAGCTCTCCAGTGTTCCCCTTTGGAGCAAAGATTCAGAAGACCTCTACAGTGAAATCTATAATAGTGTATAAGTACATGTGACTAGGCCATATATTCAACAAAAATAATCCTAGACATTTTATTGGGTCAAGTCTACCGGATGCATTCTTCCGACTCGGTTCCATACCACCATTGGTTGAGATCTGCAACTACTTTCGAAGTTGTTAAGTGTTCCTTGTTACGCAATTTTCTGCAAAGATGATAAAGACCGAAGCGCTTCCATTCGAATTCCATCATCCCCCTCTGTATGACATCTTCGGCTTTCCAAAATTGAAACCAGTTTGAAGAATTGCTATTTATATGTTGTGGTCCAAAATTGAAGCCATATCTTGGTATGATGTGAGTTCCTGGTTCTTTCCACCAATTAAAATATTCTAGATACGCCGTGTCGTTAGAATCTAAGTATTTCAAATATTCAGCCAATTTATTCAGATTTTCAAAATCTTCTAAATGGATAAAAGATCGTTTTGGCAATATTGCCGAGACATCTTCTCGTGTAGGGCCATTTATAACAGGAACAATACCGACAACGATTGCATTATAAAAAGTTTTCTCAGTTATGTAGTCTCTACAATGTAAAGAATTCTCAAACGACAAGTAAAATTTATATTCTTTTATAGTTTCGAGTAGTACGTTGGCATCATTTGCAATAGGGCGGTTGGCGCACTTTCCGTATCTATCCACATCCAGAAGACCTGCAAAAATATAACTGAAATTAGATTCTAGAAAATAGAACACTAATATATATTCATAAATATTAGCCTTTCACGAATGAAAGGGTTCGAACCAATTAACATGATATCATCTCGTTTCAAATTAAAAAAAAAATGTTTTAAATATAAACAAATTTTGCGAAATGATAATGATTTTCAAATTTTTTCGTTACCTTTTCGTTTTTAATTTCGTATCTATTTTTATTCTATTACGTGTAGTTGAGAACTATCCATGTCTTTAATTAACTATGTCTTGCATCTACAAAGTAACTTCTTAGCGTTAGGTATAGTCGTTTCTCAGATATCTATTGTTATTGCCTCTCAAAATTACAGAATCTATTGGTATTACTGTTGAAAAGTCAATGTGATATGTTAAGAATCCTCCATGCTGATCAATTCTCTTAAAGTTAATTGATAACAATCACAATTTACTTTAGACTTGAATTTATGATATACCGTATTTCTCGGCGAATAAGTCTACCGGTAAATAAGACGAGGCCCGTTTTTGAGCCTGAAAAAATGGGTTTTCGCCTATAACCTGCCAATAATTCGGGGTAGCAAAATTGCATCAAGATCGGAATCTCAAATTACCAGGCAATGCCTTTTGAGCGCTCGCCGCGTTTGCGCTTTGGTTAAAATAGCCTATAATGACGTTTTCTTGTATGTGTAATATTCAATCCATAATACCTACGGGAATTCAAACTGTCTTCAAATTTTAATCTAATTGTGTTCAACTCGCGACTGCGTCCACCATAAAAGAACATTACCTAATACATAATAAGGCGACACCAATAAAATGAAAATTATCTAACTCGTCCAATAAGACGACCAACATCCCCCCCTGACATTTTTGCCATTATTTGTTACATACATACTAGCATGAACCTAACTTGTACCAAGTTTTTCTGCAGAATACCAAACTAAAGTTTGTTCAAATGCGAATGCGCGTGCTTAAAATATATCGTTGCGAATATTCGATTTATTACTAGATTTAAATTTTCGTTTGGCTCTAGTAATTTTATTTGTGACAAGTAAAATTTTTAATATCAAACATTATCACAATCTCGGCGCCATCAGACAAATTAGTAATCTGAATTTTTTCGTTCACCTTATTATGCCTTGAAGAATTTCAGGAAAGTTATATTTAAAAATGCTTTAGATAGGTCTTTTGACCAGCGATAAAACATTGTGCTTATAGATCATTGAAAACACGTTCAGCACTTAAATTCCCTTTCCTACAAATTTAAAGAGTATATTCAAAACCGCATATATATCAATGCTTAACTACCTGTCTGGTGGTTCATGTCCATATGAGTTCGATCTTTTATTACTTTGTAGTATGGATTATATTATTGTATTTGTTTTTTGATATTCCGCAATCGAGACTAAAACGACGGTTGCCTTCATATTGGTGAAAACGCATTTGTACCATATACGTTCAAACCCATTGCACACGGAATATTTGCAGCTATGTCTATATGCATTGACTTTTCAACCAAATAACGGAAACGTACAAACTAACCTGAGCTGAGGCCGCGGGGACAAAATCGGTGTGGAGGCGGCTAAACTAACCTAAGCCGAGGCGCAAGGGCAAGGAAACTGACCTAACCTGAGCTGAACCGCGTCGTGTCAAGTTAACTTATCTGACATGATAACCCGGCTATGATGAGGGAATAATTCTAAACGGAGATAGGGGTCACAAAGTTAACGACAGAGGGCGTTGACTTGGGGAAAACAAAACTGCTTACTTTGGACAAGTTCTAGGATACCCATCGCTCAGCGGCAAATAATTTTGAGGCTTGTTTCCTTCATAGACTGGGAGGAAATTTCCATATTGTGCCAAAACTAAGGGTCGATCACGATAAGAATGAAGAAATGTTTTCTGATTCATGAATATTCGGGAATTAAAATGACGGTAAGTTTAAATATCCAGTGGTAACCACTGTGTTCATAAACAAATTGACTTACTTGATATGCTGATCTTATTTCTCCATTATCTGCAATGGTCTCGCCGATCGTGAGGTTACCATTAACCCGTGGAATCAAAATGAATGCGTTTTTCACTTTCGTGTTAAATGTTTTTGGCAAGAAGAAGTAATCACTGTAACTTTATTGGCATAATATTCTTTAATACATTTTTTTTTTGAATAATTTTTTTCAACATTCGGCTCGTGTTTGAATAAATGGCTTCCATAACAATTTGAAGTTTCAGGTGTGGGATCTTGCCAGTTTTATCTTATATAAATGTGAACAAAAAAAATTGTTATTCATACGTAAATCTCAAGCGTTCTTTTTTTAAAGAAAAACTCAAAGAGATTGTCAACAATATAGTTTCAAACATATACCATTACCATATCGTAAATAACTGTCACATGTAATACAAAAACCTTCAATCGGTGAGGAGGGGTCTAATTTCGGCGATTTGGGGTTGGGGGGATTTTGCTTCGTATTCGCTTTTGTATTAGTATTTTTTCATTATTAATATAATACTTATTCATGAACATATAATAAACTATCGAAACTGTACAAAAACAAGCTTAACAAAACTTGTGCGTAACACTAGCTCTAAGGGTCCAATAAAGATTGAAAAAATAAAGTAGTTTTATGTAAAGGGAGGGAAGAATAATGAGTTCCAAAATAGACAATGGGAGAAATTTTACAAGAAGGTCGGGAACCACTGATCTTATTAGTACAGTACTTACAAACATGTCTGCTAGTTCATAGTAAAAATTTCCGTATTTCTTCCTGAAACAGGATGATTTTTGTTCAAAGTTTTTTCTGAAGAATTTGTCCACCAATTTTCGAGATTACCCGATGCGTTGTATCTTGAACCAGCTGTATCAAATCCATGAAGTAACTGAAATTGAACAAAAATGAAAAAATAAATTAGTAAAAATTAACCAAACGGCTTCCAATAATATGCAGATGTATGAAAATATTCGTCAGAACAATGGAACTCCACCAATTTAGGTGATCATGTTGCGCGTTAGTAGAGAAATGTAATATACATTACAGTTTGCTATGAAATGTTATACTCTCATTACATTCAATGAAAAAAGAAACTGTGAAAACATGACCGTTATGAAATATACATGGCCAATAACGTTTTCCAAAGTTTATCTCATGTCCCATTGCGTCACCAACACTTGCGAAATTCGTTGCAAATGACTGTCCAGGATCAAAAAATGGGATTTGTAAAATGGCTGCAGGAAAAGTCATTCGGTTGAAGTTTCTATTGTAAAAAACATTCATTTGGCCTGGACCCATTGTCCATCTAAAACATTCAGATTAGTTACTGTTCATCTATAGCTTTATTGTTGCATGACAGTAACGAAAAAGTATTTAACCGGAAAAGATTTTTTTTGAATCATATAGCTTTACTTTATTTGCCATATTCTGTAATGTGAACTTTGTCATAGGCACACTTCTAAGTAGCTAATTCATTTTAAATACCGTACGAATTATCAGTAACTACAGGTTACATTGTAATGTTTTATTACTTCTTCATTAGGCAATGCTTTACAGCTGTATAAATAACTTGCTTAATCAAGGAAAGTGATGATAAAGAATACTGTGAAATCTTATTTCCACTCTATTAGACTGATCAAAAGGTTGTTCATAATCACATTTGTCGTAAAGATAAATTAAAAATTTACTGTAACTAAGTCATTCCCAAGGCCTTGCCCCTAGGTAAAACTGAGTATGTGTGTTTTTTGGCTCAAAATTTGTAAATGACTAATTTTTTAACGTTTGAAAAAAATGAAATTGACTTGACTTGACTCACAACAATCTGGTAAAAGAAATATATCTGATTCGTATTATGCTGAATATGGAATTGGTCGAATTTAATTTTAAGAGTAATTAGGAGTATATAATATTTAGTAACTTCCTATTTTCAGACGAATGCATTTGTTTCTGTATGACATGATACAGTTTATTTCACGGCAGCTCAAGATTTTTCTGCCAGACGGAACAAAGTGAAGTAGTCGGGATCGGCTGGGGGGCCATGATAACTGTAGAAATGAGATATTGCTGCAAAAGAAATTTATCTTTCCACGCGCAATTTCAAAACATTTCTTTGTCGCAAAATTTCATAGGAGGACAATCGTCGTCTATTGCACGCTACACAAAGAACAAATTAGAAATACAATGTAACTAAATCATTTAAAACAACCTGGTAAGACAAATTAACGACCATGCATAAAAAAATTGTCGGTCTATATTTTCTGTTATATCTGGAGGCCATACGCAAATATTCGTTAAAAGCAGGGCACAAAACGCACAAAGATTCGTTCCAATATTGGCCAGAATCTCGGCCATTGTCTCCAATACAACCTATACAGAAAGAACAAATTAGAAATATATTGCAACTAAGTCATTTACAATAATTTGGTGTAACAAATCGGCCTTACAGGAAAATTGATGATCGATACATTTACTTATATGTGATTTGATATCATGCTTTTATGAGCATCAGTATATCCCTGTAAGTGTAATAGGTCCAACTTTAGTTGATACTGATCAATGGCATACAATACAGTATACCGTATTTTACGGACCATAAGGCCGTATTATAAGGCCCACTGTAAATAATTTTCTTAAATTGCGTTTTATTCATACATAAGGCGTAATGGCCATGTAAACATCAATGGGTTTTAGGTGTAGGCAATAAAGCACTACCTGATCTATACAATAGGCGCATTGTCCTCTAAGGCGCACTATCGTTTTGTGGGGGGAAAAAGGTTCAAAGTGCTTCTTATGGTCCGTACAATTCAGCACTGTAAATAAATCGTTCACAATAATCTGGAAAGAAAATATCGGCCATGCAGAAAATCTGGTAGTCGATATTTTCAGTCATATCTGATTGATATGTTGGTGAATATTGAATTATTGAAACGAGGTAACTCCCATTTTTCATACATATGCCAATTTGTTAGACTGAGATTGAAAATGCAACAGCCAAATCCGAGTTTGAACATAAATGATGTCTTCAAAGTACAAGACAAAACATCCGTCCTTTGCATAAATCTTTATGTTGAGATTTCATGTGATCGTGATTGCAGCACTTAAAAACTAACGTTGGAACTTATGTAGAAAGCCGTGAAAATGTAAATTTTGACTACCGGTAACCAATTCCGTATACCTGATCCAGCAACATAGACATTGCAGCAGTCTACAGCAAGAGTGATACAACAAATTTCTTCATCAGGACTTGGAACTGCCTAATGTAAATTAGAGAGAGAATAATGAAAGAGGGACGTATAGTGTCGCAAGTAAAGAGTTATCGTTTCAACCTGTGGTGACATCAAAATTTTAAGTACGGTTCTACTTCGCTAAAAACAGGTTCTCAAGAATTAGCAGCAGATCACTGGTTTCTGAAAATGGCCCGAATAAAAACTTATATGGGGTTTTTACAACCAGAAAAATCTAATATTCCATAAACGCAACAGCAATTTTGCAATCTGTCTCGCAATCGCGTAGGATTCAAGGTCCACGACAAAAAGAAAAATGTGGCCAACATATGCGTTGAAATTATTTGTAACCGAATTTCTTAGCTGAGGAAATGAAATCGGATTCTGATATCCCAATTTCTCCGATTTGAACAAGTTTTATTTTTTGCCAAGATGTTTGAGCGATGGCATATTTGTTAAAGCGTCATAGTATAGCACATAGAAATGATTTTCTATCTTCACCGATATTAAACAAACGGTTCGAATAGTACTAATTTCGGTCCTGGAATCTCAACAAAGCGAATTTCCTATTTCATTTTCCAAAATATTCATAATTTGCAGCTTCTCTTGCAAAATTTCAGCGCGAGTCTGTCTAGCAAGCTAGAACAATAGAATTCGCGGAATGAGAATTCACATCAAATTTTCAAAAATGTTTTGTTAGGGTACATGTTTTATATTCCTTTTGGGAATTCGAGAGTAAAGTTGAAATGTTCCGCAGGCAGAGCATTGAAAGCTATAACAATCATCACGTACGTAGGACCGCTATATACAGCCTTCATAACCACCCATTGAGTAACCAGTAATGGAAAACGAGTTATTTTACTTGATAATTTTTTATTTATTCCATTAAACTAAATGCACATTCTCGCGTCTGCCATTGATTAACTGTAAAGTGAGCCAAACATATACATTTAAATGATTGCCCAGTTTAATGTTTTCGATCAGGGGTTCCCAAACTGGGTACGTGTACCCCCAGAGGTACATTTCGGTTTTCAAAAGATTCGATTTCCAAAGATTCAGAATAGTATATGGATATAATCCATAACTTTCAGTTTAGTTAATTGCAGGTATTATTCTCATGTTTTATAAAACATGCGAGTATCAAATATGTTTAATTGACACAACTTGGCTGTCTATTCCGACAAATAATCTGGCATCCGTGAGTTCCGACTCGGGTAGCTCTTAGTTCTCTTCGTTCTGTGTTTTTAGTTAGCGCACGCACCTCTGTCGTTAAAGCCTAAGTAGTTAAACTAGTGTTTTTCAATATGATTGAGCCGTCTTATCGGCTTCCCTTTAACCGGGATAAACATCTAAATTTTATGCTAAATCCTATCAATCATAACATTTCCAGGGATATCAATTATGGAAGACCAAAAATACAGGCAGAGAATTTCAGCTGGCAGGCCTGGAAGATTACACACACGAACAGTTATTTTTCATTGCTAACGCACAAGTACAATTGACTTTTGACTTCAGGATTAACTTTCCAAAATGATACTTCGTTCCATTCAGTGACACTTTGGTTGAATAAACTCTTTTTTAGAGCATTCATTTAAGCAAGTATCGTATAAGTATGATTGTTATTGGGGGACTTATTTCGGCTTACTGCATTTTCCATTGTTATATTTGTTGATAATACTACAGGGATTTCCTTGTTCCGTGAACTGGGTATGACCTAAAAATTAGTTTGAAGTTATTATATGTAATATTTATATTACAAGTCTTCAAAATTTAGTTTTTTCTTTCTCTTACTTGATTTAAAAATTTGCAGAAAAACTAACAAATTGGAATATGTGAAAAAAAAATTTTTGCACCCTTGCTGTATTTATTTTGATGTTCAATTGAAACGCCGTGAATAAAGAATTCAAGCTATCGTTTTTTTCCTATATTTATCTACTTGTGATGCGAGTCAGACAGGCCAGAATTTGCAAAGAGAATATTAGCTGTTTTCCCTCATAGCCATGGTATATTCAGGTACACCATTTTTTTTATTTCTTCATTTACTGTCATTGACATGGTTAAAAATTTAATTATAGTCTCGATTCGTATTCACAATTTTAACCCAACTATAAACTCTAGAATTTGAATTGACTAGAATTTGATTTCGGCACACCACGTCATATCAATTACAATCGTAATGATTCTACATTGTGATTCTGATTGTAATATGTTAGAAGTGATGGAAAAAATATCCATATACTAATGTTCGATTCACTTCACAGTTAATCAATAGAAAACGTAAGAATGTGCATTTGGTTCAATAAAATAAATAATAAATTAGTAGAGTAAAGAAGTAAAATTAAAGTAGAGTAACTGGTTCGCTTTTACCGGTTCCTCAAAAAATGGTGGTGAAGGCTATCTATGTTCCGTGGGAATGATCGTCATAGCTTTTTGTGCTTTGCCTGCAAAACAATTTCACTTTACTATCAAATGCTTGAAGAAATATAAAACGTGTGGGATAACATATTTAAAAATTTGATGCCTTCACGACTGTGTTAATATTCTTGCCCATACTTGATTCTTGTACATCTAAATTACCAATCTAGCAACCTTAATTTTTCTTTACCATACGAAATGAATTACGCGGTCAGCCTTATTTTAATTTTATTTGAACCCAAAAAGAACATTCCTCAGGTGCGCAGCCATTTTCTATAATATAGTACAATTCTTTATTTTGCATGTTTATATTGGACATGGAATGATGGACTCCTTAAATGTTTTCAGCACATTACCTATGACGCCGCGAAACCCTGTGTGTGTTACGTGTAAATGGTAAATGCCTATGTTCATAAACTCTGAATCTTACGCTCGTGAGTCACATTTTCACTGGATTTCTCCTGGACTGAACTAACATTTATATATTTTATAGTTTATTAATAATAGAACAAAAAACTTTGATCATTTCCAAAGTTGTTCTGAATAAAAAAAACTTCTGTAAGTGTACGCGATTCAAAGAACCTTGTTGAACTCGCATTTCTAACTAAATTCGGACTTTTTCAGACAAGCGTCATTATACACATACGAAACTACTAGCACAGAAGCATAGACGATGTAGTCAGACTAACTAACTTAACCCCAACAGAAAGGCTACACTGTTTTATACAACAGACTGGATAATATCATCAGAGCTCTCCAGTGTTCCCCTTTGGAGCAAAGATTCAGAAGACTTTTACAGTGAAATCTATAATAGTGTATAAGTACATGTGACTAGGCCATATATTCAACAAAAATATTCCTAGACATTTTATTGGGTCAAGTCTACCGGATGCATTCTTCCGACTCGGTTCCATACCACCATTGGTTGAGATCTGCAACTACTTTCGAAGTTGTTATGTGTTCCTTGTTACGCAATTTTCTGCAAAGATGATAAAGACCAAAGCGCTTCCATTCCAATTCCATCATCCCCCTCTGTATGACATCTTCGCCTTTCCAAAATTGAAACCAGTTTGAAGAATTGCTATTTATATGTTGTGGTCCAAAATTGAAGCCATATCTTGGTATGACGTGAGTTCCTGGTTCTTTCCACCAATTAAAATATTCTAGATACGCCGTGTCGTTAGAATCTAAGTATTTCAAATATTCAGCCAATTTATTCAGATTTTCAAAATCTTCTAAATGGATAAAAGATCGTTTTGGCAATATTGCCGAGACATCTTCTCGTGTAGGGCCATTTATAACAGGAACAATACCGCCAACGATTGCATTATAAAAAGTTTTCTCGGTTATGTAGTCTCTACAATGTAAAGAATTCTCAAACGACAAGTAAAATTTATATTTCTTTATAGTTTCGAATAGTACGTTGGCATCATTTGCAATAGGGCGGTTGGCGCATTTTCCCTATCTATCCACATCCAGAAGACCTGCAAAAATATAACTGAAATTAGATTTTAGAAAACAGAACACTAATATATATTCATAAATATTAGCCTTTCATCAATGAAAGGGTTCAAACCAATTAACATGATATCATCTCGTTTCAACTTAAAAAAAAAACGTTTTCAATATAAACAAATTTTGCGAAATGATATTGATTTTCAAATTTTTTCGTTACTTTTTCGATTTTAATTTCATATCTATTTTTATTCTATTACGTGTAGTTGAGAACTATCTATGTCTTTTTTTAACTATGTCTTGCATCTACAAAGTAACTTCTTAGCGTTAGGTATAGTCGTTTCTCAGACATCTATTGTTATTGTGTCTCAAAATTACAGAATCTATTGACGTTGTTGTTGAAAGGTCAATGTGATATGTTAAGAATCCTCCATGCTGAATAATTTCCTTGAAGTTAATTTTTAACAATCACAATTTAATTTAAACTTGAATGTATGATATACCGTATTTCCTGGCGAATAAGTCTACCCGGTAAATAAGACGAGGCCCGTTTTTGAGCCTGAAAATATGGGTTTTCGCCTATAACCTGCCAATAAGTCGGGGTAGCAAAATTGCATCAAGATCGGAATCTCAAATTACCATGCAATGCCTTTTGAGCGCTCGCCGCGTTTGCGCTTTAGTTAAAACAGCCTATAATGACGTTTTCTTGTAGTGTAATAACATAATAACTACGGGAATTCAAACTGTCTTCAAATTTTAATCTAATTGTGTTCAACTCGCGATTGCGTCCACCATGAAAGAACATTACCTAATACATAATAAGGCGACACCAATAAAATGAAAATTATCTAACTCGTCCAATAAGACGACCCCCCCCCCTGCCATTTTTGCAATTATTTGTTACATACATACTAGCATGAACCTAACTTGTACCAAGTTTTTCTGCAGAATACCAAACTAAAGTTTGTTCAAATGCGAATGCGCGTGCTTAAAATATATCGTTGCGAATATTCGATTTATTACTAGATTTAAATTTTCGTTTGGCTCTAGTAATTTTATTTGTGACAAGTAAAATTTTTAATATCAAACATTATCACAATCTCGGCGCCATCAGACAAATTAGTAATCTGAATTTTTTCGTTCACCTTATTATGCCTTGAAGAATTTCAGGAAAGTTATATTTAAAAATGCTTTAGATAGGTCTTTTGACCAGCGATAAAACATTGTGCTTATAGATCATTGAAAACACGTTCAGCACTTAAATTCCCTTTCCTACAAATTTAAAGAGTATATTCAAAACCGCATATATATCAATGCTTAACTACCTGTCTGGTGGTTCATGTCCATATGAGTTCGATCTTTTATTACTTTGTAGTATGGATTATATTATTGTATTTGTTTTTTGATATTCCGCAATCGAGACTAAAACGACGGTTGCCTTCATATTGGTGAAAACGCATTTGTACCATATACGTTCAAACCCATTGCACACGGAATATTTGCAGCTATGTCTATATGCATTGACTTTTCAACCAAATAACGGAAACGTACAAACTAACCTGAGCTGAGGCCGCGGGGACAAAATCGGTGTGGAGGTGGCTAAACTAACCTAAGCCGAGGCGCAAGGGCAAGGAAACTGACCTAACCTGAGCTGAACCGCGTCGTGTCAAGTTAACTTATCTGACATGATAACCCGGCTATGATGAGGGAATAATTCTAAACGGAGATAGGGGTCACAAAGTTAACGACAGAGGGCGTTGACTTGGGGAAAACAAAACTGCTTACTTTGGACAAGTTCTAGGATACCCATCGCTCAGCGGCAAATAATTTTGAGGCTTGTTTCCTTCATAGACTGGGAGGAAATTTCCATATTGTGCCAAAACTAAGGGTCGATCACGATAAGAATGAAGAAATGTTTTCTGATTCATGAATATTCGGGAATTAAAATGACGGTAAGTTTAAATATCCAGTGGTAACCACTGTGTTCATAAACAAATTGACTTACTTGATATGCTGATCTTATTTCTCCATTATCTGCAATGGTCTCGCCGATCGTGAGGTTACCATTAACCCGTGGAATCAAAATGAATGCGTTTTTCACTTTCGTGTTAAATGTTTTTGGCAAGAAGAAGTAATCACTGTAACTTTATTGGCATAATATTCTTTAATACATTTTTTTTTTGAATAATTTTTTTCAACATTCGGCTCGTGTTTGAATAAATGGCTTCCATAACAATTTGAAGTTTCAGGTGTGGGATCTTGCCAGTTTTATCTTATATAAATGTGAACAAAAAAAATTGTTATTCATACGTAAATCTCAAGCGTTCTTTTTTTAAAGAAAAACTCAAAGAGATTGTCAACAATATAGTTTCAAACATATACCATTACCATATCGTAAATAACTGTCACATGTAATACAAAAACCTTCAATCGGTGAGGAGGGGTCTAATTTCGGCGATTTGGGGTTGGGGGGATTTTGCTTCGTATTCGCTTTTGTATTAGTATTTTTTCATTATTAATATAATACTTATTCATGAACATATAATAAACTATCGAAACTGTACAAAAACAAGCTTAACAAAACTTGTGCGTAACACTAGCTCTAAGGGTCCAATAAAGATTGAAAAAATAAAGTAGTTTTATGTAAAGGGAGGGAAGAATAATGAGTTCCAAAATAGACAATGGGAGAAATTTTACAAGAAGGTCGGGAACCACTGATCTTATTAGTACAGTACTTACAAACATGTCTGCTAGTTCATAGTAAAAATTTCCGTATTTCTTCCTGAA